CAATGACCCCTGGTGGTAATGGAACAGCAGTTATACCTAGTGTATGAGTGGTTTTTAAAATATAATTTGTTTGGTTTAATATGTGTTGGTTTGTTTGTTTGCCTATCTGTTTTCTAAAAAGAGAATGAAAGGAATGGCTTAGAGTTGGGTGGGTGGAGAGATTAGGATGATTTGAGAGGAGCTGGAGGAGGGAAAACTATTATATATATATATATATATATATATATATATATATATATATATACACACACACACACATATATATATATATGTATATATACATATAAAATCAAAGAAAAATCAGAAGCTAAAAACATCAAAGGCAATCTGCAGAACAGCTCTGATGGTGTTCCTTGAATAATAATAACACTACACGATAGGAATGGGTTCAGAAAGCTACTGCAGCACAGAGAATTCAGACGCCTGTATCAAGGGCATACAAAGCTGTCAAAACAACAAGTGGAGGGTTTCTGAGAATTACACAGGGGGGACATAAGTATGGTGAACCATACAGGAGAGTGATAGAATTCAAGGAGTTTACCAACTGATTGGGTAGCACTAAGGAAGAAACAATTCGGTAAAGAAGACAAAGAACAGACAAGAGGCAGAGCTACTGGTAAAACACCAGTGGAAAAAAATGCAGTCCAGTTGGTGCATGAGAGCTTTAAATCACCAAAGAAACGACAATGATTTAAAACCCTTGACCCCTTATGTTGTAACAAACCAAACTCATTAATGATGTTTTCCAGTTCAGTGTCTGCATGGCTCCCTAGTAGAGCCTCCAAAATGATAATTTATACTTCTATTTTCATTATATAGAACAGAATAACTACAAATTTCTCCCAGGTTAGTGTAGAATTACCAGTCAATTCATTCACCAGATAGTTATTATAGGGTGATTATATACACTACACACCGTCAAGCATAGAGAACACAGGATCAAAGGAGAAATTGTCACTTCATTCTAGAACTTACTTTCCAGTTCAAGAAGGAAAGCACCAAACACGTGAAGAAGGGCTAAGTTTCAGGATGATAAAGGTATGATGTGACAAACGACATCTGAGGGACTGAGAAGATAACTGAAGTTTTCAAGAAAAGGGAATGTTGAAGATGTAGTTTTGTTTGAAAGTTGGCTAGGACAATCAGTAAATAGAAAAACCAAATGCTGGCGCTAACGTGGCATCATGAGAATGTGCTTAACTTAAATATTACAGAAATAGAAAATGTGTAACATCTGAGCTTCCATTCTCAAATTTTCCTTCTCTGCTGGCTCCTTTTGTGTTAGCTTGATACAAGCTAGAGTCATTTGGAAAGAAGGAACCTCAACTGATAAGATGTCTCCACCAGACTGTCTGGTGGGCAAGCCTGTGGAATATTGTCTTGACTGGTGATTGATATAGGAGGGCCTGACTACCTGTGGGCGGTGCCACTCTTGGGCTTGTGGTCCTAGGTACTATCAGGAAGCAAGATGAGCAAGCCATGAGGAGAAAGTCAGTAAGCAGGATTCCAGTTATGCCTTTATTTCCCTGGATAGTGAACATCAGGCTGTAAAATGGAATAAACCCCTTCCATCCCAAGGTGCTTTGGGCTATGGAGTTTTATCACAGCAATAGATACCTTAACTAAGACACCCTCTAACATTAAATGTGTCTATTTTTTTCTCATTAGACAAAGGAGAATGTATTCATGAATATGGTCTAGGTCATATGTAACATATGTCCACAAAAGGATCAGTTTTTCTAGTTTCTGAATCCTTATGAAGTTTGTTGAAGAGATCATGCCTCACAAGCTGTAAACAAAGGTGGGAACAAGAAAGCAAATATCCTTGGTGAGATGAACTCTATATTTTAGAAGTCTAGAATTGGCTGCTCATAAAGTGGACTGCTTTGTCCTGGGACTAGCACTAGCAGCTGTCAACCTCTGAGCACAGCCTAATCTTGTTCAAAGCTTAAAGTTACATTTGCTTAGCTCCATCTCACTAACACAGGACTCAGATGAAGATGGTTGTGGGAGATCACAGAGCTCAGGCCCACACTTTCAGGATGAAAGGACCTTGGTCCAGAACCAGTGAAGAACTATTTATGATCGTCATGCAACAGATTATTTTGAAAGGAAGAGCTAGAATTTGGATTTAAAGTATATAATTCAATGGCCTTTGTTAGATATAAAAGAATCTTACTCTCTCAAAGGTGAGGCCCAGGCATTGATAATTTCCCCCCCAAAATGACCAAATAACTTTAAATATAGCCATGGGTAAGAACAAGTGCATCTCCAGTCACCCAGTAAGATTAACCATGTACACAAATACTCTTTACCGAGTAAGAGACAAATACTGGCATGACGTGTTATTGAAGCACAATCTAATTGGGACATGTTTTCTGAGTCAAATACATAATGCCAGCAATAAAGACTTCTATAAATATTATACTGTCTTGTCTGTTAGCAACATAGTTAAGCAGTAAAAACAAGTTAACAGACAAACAATTCAGTGCTACAGATGTGGTTCAGTAATCCAGCACTTTTCTAACCTGGACCAGGAAAAGCTCCATTTTCAACACCTAAAATAAATAAATGAATAAACAAACAAATAAATAAGTTAATTTAGGCTCTTCGTGACTTCTTTCTTAGATGTTTTACCTAAAAGGATCCAATAAATTAGAAGAGTTGGCACCATTTAGTTGTTATTTATTTACTTATAAAGAACAATTCATGTACCCTTGAGGAGACTAAAAGACAAGTGAGTTTGTACGTAAGTCTCCATCATGTATGTTTTTCATACCCAAGAAGGACATTAACATTAAATACTTGTAAGCTAACATAGATCCACATGTAATCATAAAAAATCTATGCAAGTAATTTAAAAGAAAAAAAAAAACCTAATTTCCACATGTTAAATATGCTCATTTGAACAGTTGCTTTGTGGTTACACGAGACATGGAATGTTCGTTGAAATCAAAGGGTTAAAATGTACTTTGAATGGCTTTATGAAAACTTCCAGGATCAGGGTAAGCCAGGAGTGTTGTGAGCCAGTATAGATGCATCCCCAATTCTCCATCACTACCATGCAATCACCCCTGAAGAATTGCACCAAGAAAGCCTTTTTGTCATTAGAGTAGAACTCACCAACAGCCAGAGAAGCCACCACTTTGAACTTAGCCATATTTGTTTGTTTGCTCTCCAACACCCTTTCTCCCTCTTAATGGGTTTGGATATCAGTCTTTCCCCACCTCAAACCCCAGAAGATCATGTTTGCATTTGCTTGTTTCCATGGGTGGATTATTGTAGGAAGTTAGTTGATTCCTTCTCTCAGTCAGTGAGTGTACTACTAGGAGAAAAAAAGGGTTTCAGGTTAATATTTCACTTACTGTGGTTTATTTTTTTTCTTCCAGTTTGCTTTAGAAGCTTTGAAAACATTTGTTTCTTCATTTGTAATATTCCTATATGTCATTTACCAGATATTTTATGATTTTTAACTAGTATTTTTAGTCAGTACATAAAATAATAGCTGTAATTGTGGCATTTGGCATTTTCATTTATGTACATATTGCACTTTGCTCGTATTTGTCCCATAACTCTCCATAGACCATTCTCCTCTTTCCACCTGGTCCTCTTCTACCACCAAATAATCCCTCTCTCTCTCTCTCTCTCTCTCTCTCTCTCTCTCTCTCATACACACACACACACACAGAAGGGAGATTTAAATCTAGGTTCTACATCCTTTCAATGTAGTCTTTTTTTTTTTAGAACCAAACGATTTTATAACCACAGTGAACTTGGGAAGTGATTTAGCAAATGCTTTGGAGATGGCAACCAATCATCTTCAAAGAAAAAAACAGAAAGTTCATCACAAGGAAGCATAATGGAAATTTCCTGCAAAAAGGTGAGGCAGATCCTGACGAATAATCGTAGACCAGAAAATTCTAGAAACTTGAAGTATAATAAAAACACAGGGAAGCCTCATATATAAAAACAAACCCTGAACACTGGATTCACTAAACGATATATGTTAGAGTGTACTATGTTAGTGGTGGCTGGAGCTTGGCTGCCGATTTGAATTTCATCCTTGTTTAGAGGCCAAAAGCCTTGAACAAATATCACTGCCCTATTTCTCCCTCCCTTTATACCTTCCTTCCACCCTCCATATATATAGCTTTTTTATAGTGGTTTATTTTTTTAACAGTTGGCCTAGCATGCCTGGAACCCCTTATATAGACTAGTGTGGCCTGAAACTCAAAGCCATCCACCTGCATATGCCTCCCAATTCCTGAGACTACAGACATGATCAACAAGTCATATTTTGGAAAAATTCTTAATCATTTTTACGTTAGCCTCATCTATCTATAAAATGGAAATAAAAAATTACTTCTAGGAGTTATTTTAAGGAATAAATAGGCAAATATATTTTTACTATCTAGTGAGTTATTAAATGTTACTTATAAATATTGGCTCTTCGTATTATTTGCTATATCTAATTTATATTAAAGAATAAATGTCTACTTTCAGTTGTAATTTTTCTAACAATTATTTTTCATCAACTCATTTGTTTGATTGGGTAATCAGCCATCTACACTATTCGTTCAATACTCAAACAGAATGTACAATTGTAAATGTATTAGCAGCCTTCTAAAGGGAAATCCTATATATTATCAGATGAAACAGTGAGAAAATACAGTTTAGTGCTCAGTTACCTTCAAAAGTTTCTTGCTTTTCCATTTTCCACTGTTTTACTAAATTTTGAAAAGAAATTTCCTTTCTGTGTTCTAAAACCAACTCAAAACCAGTCTCCATAGAGGGGACCTACCTCCACCTAAATCTGCAACAACGGCTGACTCAATGACAGTGACATGGTTGCATTTGCTACATGTTGTCTCCTTTTCTTTTCCCTGAGACATTATCTGACCCTATGGCCCAGATGCTTCTCAGACTCATGGCCAGCCTCCTCCCTCACTCTTCTGTTATTCGGGATTCCACACATGAGCTTGGTTCTTATTTTACCTGTAATGGGGTTAACAGTTTTGGGTATTCAGGAATATACTTATTACTATATCATTATGGAGACATTCAATCAAGAGGTGCTGAATCAAAAGGTTTGTGAGAAATTTGCCCAAACAACATTATTGTCAGCAGATTATTGGTAGAAATACAAAATTAAACCTGGTGTCATAGCAAGTCTTTAATCCCAGTGCTTGGGAGGTAGAGATAAGCAAACCTCTGTGAGTTCAAGGCCAATATGATTTATTAAGAGAGTTATAGAACAACAGGCTAAATAGAAAGACCATGTCAAGGAAGGGATGGAGGGAGGGAGAACTGATTTTCCCACAAAGACCATAGGAAAATACATTGCTTAAAATCTTGATTGACTGATTTGTTTTTAAAATCCTCATATATTTAGCATGTGGCTAAGTTTAGAGTGGAGACATTCTTTGTCTCATATTTTGAATATCAAATAATTAATATTGAACATTTTTCCTATATTTGTGAATGACTTATTTTAGTTATTTATTCTTTGCGTGCTCAGGAGTGGGGCCCAGGACAGCTAGTACACTAAATATTTACTCTGAATTTGATCTATTTCCCCACCCAACTCCACCTCTCCATATATATACTATATGAATAGTCACACACACACACACACACACACAAACACACACACACACACACACACACACACATCTTTTCTTCCACAGGTATTTTTAGCATCTTTGTCAAAAAGTAGTCAGCTGTAACTTTATGGATTTATTGCATGCAGTCCTATCCTATTCCATTTGTATTTGTATTTGTATTTGTATTTGTATTTGTATTTGTATTTGCATTCCTTGTATTTATTTCTTGCCTAGCTAAAACCTTAAGCACTACATTGAATAAGTGGAGAGAGTGGACATGCTTGTCTTGTCCCTGATCTTGGTGACAATGCTTTGAGGTCTTTTCCATTTAACATAATCCTGGTGATATCTTTAACATATATAGCCTTTATTACGTTGAGAAATATTCTCTAGTTTCTCCATGACTTATAACATGAAGGAATATTAAATTTTATCAAAGCCTTTTTCTGTGACTAATTGTGTAATTTTTGTCTTTGAATCCATTTCTGTGAAAAATCATTTTTATTGGGTTTTTATTTTTGAGCCAACTTGATCATGATTAAAGCCAACTTTATCGTGATGAACAATCTTTTTGATCTTGAACTAGATTTGCAAGCATTTTATTGAGAGATTCTGTATCTAGATGTCTGTGTTCAGCTGGAAGACCATGCTGCAGATTTATCTTTTCTTTTCTTTCATAGTTTTTGGCTTTATCTTGCTTTGGTATAAATATAATGCTAGCTTCATTAAAGGAGTTCTGTAAATTCTTTCCATTTCTACTTTATGCAATAGTTGAGCAGTTTTGGTGTCAATACTTTTTTAATTTCTGGTAGAATTTTGGTGAATCCAGCTGGACCTGGTCTTTCCCCTCCCCTCAGTTTGGGGAAATTTTACTCTGGAAGTAAGACCAACAACCAACAACCTTTTATAAAAGCAAGGAGCTTCTGTACATCAAGGGAATTCTCAGTCCTTGAAAAAAGCAGCTACAGGGCCAGGGAGCTGGGATCTTTGGTAGCTATATTATCCAGGACTGAGAATTAATGGTTAGAGTATAAGAAGAATTAAAATTTAAGCATCTAGAGAGTAAATAACTCAGTAGAAAAATGGGCTTTGTGGATGAACAAAGAGATTTCAAAACAATGATACAGGTGCTTAGAGAAAACTTATAATTTTCGAATGTCAGCAACTATCAGCGAAATGCAGAGCAAAGCCACTTTGAGGTTGTACCTCATCCTTGTCAGAAGGGCTGGCACTTAAGCTTTCAAATGACAACAAATGCTGGCATAGATGGGTAAGAAACCTTTATTCACTCTTGGTGGGAACAGAAGCTTGTGAAGTTGTTTCAGAAATCAGTCTTGGGGTTTCTCAAAAATCAGAAATAAAACTAACTGATAAACCAACTATGCCACCTTGAACATAATACACACACACACACACACACACACACACACACACACACACACACATTCATACTACAGACATACCTGCTCATTGTTGCTGTACTCTCAGGAACTAGAAAATAGAAGCAGTTTAGATATTTGTCAGTTTATGGTATATATGTACAGTGGAATTTTAAATCTGACAGTAAATGGGTAGAACTGGGGAAAAGTTACACTGATAATGTCACATGGGCCCAGTGGATCACAAAATAAAACATAGACAGAAATGTGATAAAGAAATTTATAGGAAAGAAGATAAGTTACAGGGGCTAGGAAGGAGTTAAGAGAGGGTGACAGAAGAGAGTACATGTTTGAAGCTATGGACAAACTTCACTAATAAAAGTACATGCTACAATACCATGATGAATTCTGTATCTTTTAAAAATAAATATATTTACTAATCATATTAAAAATCAATATATTTAAGCAATATTAAATATGCATATAAAGTCTATAAATCATTTAAGACTACTAATCTCTTAGAAATAATTCTACATATGTATCAAATTGGGAATTACTGATTTGGCTGATGTTTTAGAATCATTTGTTAGTTAGAAATTTGTAACTTAATTTATTCTCCAAACTATTCCACATGCATTAAAATATGTTTTGTGTCTTTAAGAGGAAATGTGATTGTACTTAATACTGTGAATGTATATTTAAATGAACAATTAATGAAAATCATTCTTAATTATTTAAAAAAAAATGAATACTATTTTGCGGAGGCAGTGGCAAATCTTGCCTGATGTGTCATGGTGGAGTCATTCTCAAAAAGTAATGGCTACAAAATTGAGTAAACAAAGAGCCAATAAAGAAAAGATTTCCTCACACCATGTTAGAAGCCAGCCAGCTGAAGAGCATGTGCTGTGGAAAATTTTGAGAGACCTGTGAGGATTTTTCCCATCATGCAGGCATCAGCCACAGAATGTCAAACCTTCCTCTTCACAGACGATGCCACAGAGTTGCCCTTTGCCAAACAAGTGCTGCCACCATGACCCCATTATTCTCCCACCCCTCCTTCTTTTGAGCAGAAGGCACAACACTACATTTGGTGGAAGAAAACAGCAATCAGAGTCTGTGAGTTCCTCTTTCTTGCATTTCTTGCAAGTACCTCCCGAGTCACCGTGAGAAGTTGATGATCCCAGCTGATGACCTATTCTTTTGAGTTTTGCTTTTATTCCTTAGGCACTTGTGCTATTTTTATTTTAAGCTCTAATCTGTAGGCCCAATGCCACTCTGTAACCAAGTCTGTTTATCTAATTCTGGTTACCAAATGTGTGACTGCTATATGTGTGGATCTATCAATAGCAGGCAAAACCACAACCCATTACCAAGTTTACCTGTTTGCTGTGTCCAAGAGAAATCCCTGCAAGCCTGTTTCCAACTGCCTTTCCAACAGATTCAGATCAGCAGAGAAAACTTGCCCATCTCTAGTCTACTGTTCATGGATTCCTCTGAAGTCATACAAATTGATCAACCACCTCCTAAGAAAGGGTGTTCTACTACAGGAGTGGGTACTTTCAGGCAGCATTAATTTTTTTTTCTGGGCACTGTGTTAAGCACACTGCTTATCTTCTGCATGTCTTAGGTGCTATTAATTCTTTTTCACTTGTGAACCAAGGTAGGGAGATAGAGCCGGCTATTCAAGGATTTCCATTCAAATGTTCTCAATCCTAACCAGTTAAAGAATGAAACATTTCTTTTCAACAACAAAATTTGTGAACAACAAAGACCTTGAGTGAAGGGAGAGAGAATAACAAGAAAAAGAATTTTAAAAACACCCAATTTCTAATTTGAGCTAGAAAAATCAAGAAAGTTATTAGCCCAAATGGTTCAGGATCCATTTGCCATACCAATCAGTTTGTGTGCAAAGCTGATTATTCCTAAGTCCTCAGGAGGAATATAACAAAAAGTAAAACAACAACACAACAAAAATCTCTATGTCTGTACAAATGTGAAAGTAAGACTTACAAATAAAATTCAAAGTGTACCAAGTTGATTAACTAGAAGTTCAGGGCCAATCTAGAATTCTATGAATCTAGGTAAAAGGTAACTCAGACCCAAAGAGATCCTGGTAGACTTCAGCATCCCAGGCCTTGAGAAGAATCCTGACAAATGGACTAAACCTGACTAACTCCCCATAAAGGACAAACATTCCCCCAAGTACGACTCCACCAGCAACGGGGAAAACAGAGAATAAGCAGGCGCATGCTGAGTTGTCCAGCCTGTAGTAGGTGAGCCCATTTGTCTGACAAACCATTGCACTAAGGACTGCCTCACATTTGAGACAGGTCTTCTCCCAAAGGCACAGAGAAGAAAGACATTGGAAGGTGTTGTATAAAGCAGAGCTGGATTAAGGCAATTAGGAGTTGTTAACTCAACAATATGCTGATAGATAGCAAATAGGACAGAGCGTAACACAACACAGGGCTTTCTTCATAATTACTATGAAATGATAAATGTCAGAATCATGTTGGAAGCTGAGGGGCTGAGAAAGAAGGCAGGCATGAGTGTGAGAGGCCATTTCCGGACCTCTGGAATAGGACCAGAGCACTATAGCCGCTGACAAGCTTCAAGTATGTTCCCAGACAGGGAGTTATTCCGGCCCTAAATGAGCAAGTCACACACTCAGCTCTCCAAAAGTATGCGCTGGAAACACCAGCCCTGACTGCAACAGTCACCCACAGCACCTAAAGCCACCCACTACCCTGCAGATGACCCCACGAAGCAAACCAAACCATCTGGTCCAAGCTCCCCACCTCCTCACGCTTGAGTCCAAGACAGGGAGGATGGAAAAATTTGGGGAGTAGTCCCAGGCTCACTAGAAGGACATTCATTCCTCAAACCCTCCTCTCAGGTGTTCCTGAGAGGGAGGATGACATCTGGTCAGTCCTCAGCCGGCCACCACTCCTCCCCCTGGAGCCAGAATTAGGAAACCCTGGACAACCCGCTAGTAAGTCCTCACGTGCTGAAGTGCCTCCCCAGAATTATAAAGGTCGCAGTGCTGGAGATTGAGCTCACTCCTCTGGCAGCGCAGAGTCACAGCCACTTGGTCGGCTCCAGTCTCTGGATCAGCCCTGCTCCAGCTCAGCCACAGGCTCCCGGCTCCTGCCAGTCACCTGGCACTCTGCAAGCTGCACATAGAGAGGATGGAGAAGCTCTCTGCCGCTCAGGTCCTGGCGCTGCTCTGCCTGGGTAAGCAAAGAGAAGGGACCAGCCCCCGTGCATTTGTCATAGGACAAGTACAGAGTTGTCCACCAGGTTCAAGTGTACTCAGTTTTAAGAGGATGTCTTCTGTAAGTGTCTTTCCTGCTGGCGGGATTGGAAAGGTGGGGGAGAGATTAATGTTAAAATTGCATTTCATCGATAAATTCATTGCTGGCATATGTTCTGAGTGAATTATTTTACTGAGCAAAATAAAAAAAAAATATTGAACAGGAATTTCTTTTTTTCCTTTTGAAAATGTAGCAGTTGTAGAACACCAAAGGTATGGAAAGCACCTCTGATAATGATTTACTCTCTTGGGATGTGGCAGGTAGAGATTGGATCAGCTCCAGCCCCCTAGAGACTTTTGTGCAAAGGTCCCTGCTTACAACCTGGGGGGGGGGTGAGGGTCTCTCTGGGATGCGCCTGCAGGGCTGGTGGGGCCTGGGAGACCCCAGCAGGTCCAAAAGGTAGCTGCCAGCAAACTTGTCACCTGCAGCTTCCCCCAGGAGTACCTGCCTTCTCTAGGGAGTCAGGTAAGCAATGCTTGAGGCTACCTGCCAGAAGCCTGTAATTTAGGGAGGTTTTTTTGTTTTATGTTTTTTGTTTTTTTGTTTTTGGGTTTTTTTTTTTTTTTGGTAGTTTTCTCATTTGGGATGAGTTAGCTCTTGAGGACAGGGGACAGGGTGTCGAGGAGATCCCATTGTAAAATTTCTCTCTCTCTCTGTGTCTCTCTCTCTCTTGCTTTATCTTGTTTAATCACTTTCCCCTAACTTCTTACATACAAAATTATTTTAGAGTTATATATGAATTTTCCCAATATGCAAGCATTATAATAAGGAAATAAAACTTGTTAGTCTGGCCTTCTTCCTGAACTTGTGATTAGACACATTCTCCTGAGACACACTATCTGTGCAGGATGTGACAGTTAAATTATTATTTTGACACACCTTATAGGGGTTGGGAGCCCTAATGAAGTGCATACTATGCATAGTTAGAGCTTATACATCTAAATGCAAGAACCCAAGTAGAAACTAGATCTGTGGTTTCTGCCAAAACAGAGCTAAGAATGTCTTGCCAGCAGAGTCACTGTAAACAATGTAGCTTGTTGTGGTCTCTCTGTAAAGGATAAACTCAGAAGGGTGGCAGTCTTCCTCGAGTTAGAAAAGAACCTAAAGGTCACAGTGGTATAGTGTTTTCTGTTTTTTTTTTTTTTTTTTTTTTTTTCTTTCCCCATCACTTGCAAGGTGTCTCATAACAATGCAAGAGTCTGTTCGCACATCTCGGTGAATATTCTAATGTAAGACAGCAAGAGACTATGAATGACCTGGAAGCTACCCACCTAGTGCGTGTGTGTTGTGTGTGTGTGTTTGTTGTCATGAAAGTGCTTAGCTCCTTTATTGCAGCACTTAATTATAGTTCGCCTATTTCATCAGCTGCCAAGCCCATTTCCAAATGAGCTAGGTCAGTTTCTGTTTTCCCAGTCTGTTGAGATACTTCTTGCCACTAGAAAAGTTCCTGTTTGAAGTATATTGTATCACTCTAGTCTGGTATGCATGTCTTATTGTTTGCTTCCAAAGCATATAAGGGGGGAAAAAAAAGAAGGCTATCTATAATGTCAGAATTTGTGCCTTCCCCAAAGAAAAAAGACCGCCTAGAAATCTCAGACTTTGTCCTCCAAAGGAAAGTGATATTTTAGATTGAAGTGGACTTTTATTGCTTTTGTGGAATGTCTATGCATTTATGATTATGAGAGTAAAGTTCTACTGTCTATCCCCAATGCATGCAGTTTCAAGTAGCTACAACAATCAGTCATCTAACTGCTATTACATCTTATAAATGTTCGATATCAATGCTCTTTTTTTTTTTTATGCAAGAGGAAACTGAACCAAGTTCCCTTACAAAATAGATGATAAGCTGAAAGAGGTCAGGCCTAAGTTGACTGACTAACAGTTACAGTTTAACAGACCTTAAGTAAAAGATGGAAACAGCCCAGTTGGAAATGGTTTTCTGAATAATCTGTAATTTTACAGCTGAATTAGCCTTCTGACACTGTGATTTTTCTAAAGAGAGGAAGAGACAAATTTATTTTGAGCTCTGCAGTTACATGTAAGGATGCTAGATTTGAAGTCAAACATTCTCACTCATGTTCAAAAGGTTTTTGAGGATATTAATGAGGGAAGAAAATTAGGCCTATGTGGTGATAGAATTAAGCAGAGTAGATGGTCTCTCTCAAAAAGATCAGCGGCAGAATCTCAAAAAGATAAGCAGCAGAATCTCATCGAGACAATGGGCTTGCCTTCTGTTGGCCCAGAAAGTCTATGATCTCTTAGCATAACCTGAGAAAACACACCTGGGCAATAAGCACGCTCATCGTACTCCCTTGTCTAGATTTTGACCCAGGTACCCCAGGTGTCGTCTGCATTGTTCTACCATGTGAGCAGCTTAGGTAATTGGAGTGCCTGGTTCAGCACTGGAATATGAATCAAGGAGGTGGGACAAGAATTAGCTGTTACCAAATGCCTGGTGAGGACCAGCCATGTTTTGTGTTAGGCATCTTAAACCCTAACCACTTTGTTTTACCCTAAAAAAAAAAAAATCACTGAATAAGGCCAGATATGATGGTTCACTTTTGACAAATGCAGACATTAAGACTCAGAGAATTAAAAACCTTACAAAGACTTTGAGACTGGGGGGGGGGGGCAAACAACAAATTTTAAGGTTATTCTTTACAGGTGTAAGCAGTCAGTGAGGTCCAAAGCTAGTGGGAATAATAAAAATAGCAGGTTCTAATAGAGAAACTCCAGTGTGAACTAGGGATGCCCCAAAGCTTGGAACCTGTTCTAAGTGAAGCTTGTACATCTAAGTGGGCTCGCTGACCTCTCCTGATGCAGAACTAAGCAGAGAAAACGTATATCTATCCTTTTTAATCTGTGCTAAGAAAGATGATCTTTTACATAATATTCAGATTTTATCTACACAGTTCTTAGATAAGAGCTTCATTATGAAGCAGTCATTGAACCTGACTGCATCTTCTAGCTCTTAGTTTTCCAAAACATACTAACTAAGGTAGGCAGGAAGAGATTGCTTTATATTTGTATTCCTCGAGATTTTGTGTAATTGTGGATTTTTCTGTCCAGTTTTGTGAATCTCCCATTTCCTGATTAGAGATGCAGATGAGGAGTGAAGGTGTGGCTTCCTCATTTGCACTCCAAATATAGGTGTATGCAAATTGTCTATAAATATGGCTGTAACTGCTGTCAGGAACATTGCACTGGAAGACAATGGGAAGGCTGGCTCCCTGCCAGACATCACCTTGGTATGGAAATGCAATCCTAAGACATTTTTTTTTAAAATGAGGCAATGCAACAGACTCAGTGTCCTCTGGCAGTATAGTTTGTGTAAGTCTGGCTGTCTAGTTACAAAGCAGTTAAAAGTTCAGTTGCATTCTAGGTTAAAGTAATGATTTAATTAACTAGCATGCTATTTCTAATATATAAGAACATCTGACATTGTTCCTAAAAAAAAAGTTAGTGCTTAGCCTCTTAGGTAAAAATTGTGAATTTTAAATATGAGATGTGAAAGTTATTGACACAAAATCTTATGTGTACATACACAGCTATTGTGTATTAGAATCTTTTGGTTTCTAATTGAAAGGCTTAGCGATAAAGCACACACGCTGCCATTGTGCCCAACTATTACTCTGGTGCTGATCTCATCATACCTCAGAGTAAGTCTGTATCTAAACAGGTTTAGTGGGGACATGATGGAAGTAACAGGCGATGTTAAATATAGGTGCTGTCTGGGTTCATAATTAGATTGAAGCCTTATCCAATTCTCACCACTACTCTTTGATTTAACCAGTGATTCCTTAGATATGTACTTGAGACAGAAGATATCTTGAGGTTGGTTGACAGTTTCTGAAAATCCTATGCTTGGCTCCAATTAAGCCTAGTATAATATCCCACACCTGTATTCCTGTTTCTCTGTTATAGACTATATTACTGATAGTATGCCTACCCAACTTCATGTACATTTACACTGTGAGAGAATGTATGTGGAGAGGAAGAATGAGGAGAAAGAGGGGTTGGAAGGAAGAGAGGGAGGGAAAGAAGTAAGGTATTGAATAGTGATAAGACTGAATAATGACAGCCAATAAGAAAATGCCTCACTCCCTGCTCTCTTTCTGGAGATAAGGAATTTCTTAGTAGGGGGATAAAATAAACTGAGCTAGAATTGGAGCCTGTATCTTGGGAGACTGGTGAAGGACTTTTCATATTGACTCTATAGCTATGGGCAGGCTAATTCTCTGTGGTGGGCTGTCCTGAGCATGGTAGGGTGTTCAGTAGCAAACCAGGATTCTACCTATTATTTATCAGTAGCACCACCTACTGTGACAATCAGAAACCCCTCTAGACCTTGCCAAATATCCTTGGCTGATATAATTGCCCCTGGTTGAGAATCACTAATCTAATATATTCTCTTATTGTCATCCATAATATACATGTTGAATTACCAAGACAAAGAACATTCATGCCAGTGGAAATCTAGATACCAGTTCTAGTGTTTTAAAACTCACCTTTGGGAGTTTCATGATAGAGTACTTGTCTAGCATGAGCAAAGTCCTGTTTGATCTTGGCATCTCTCAAGACCCATCAGCTCAGTGATGTCCTTTGCTGGTTTTAGCCACACTCAAATCTTGTTCACACAGGGGTTATGAGAGCTTTCTTCAGTCATTGAACAGCTGACTTCTGCTCTTCCTGTTATATCCCTGCCCATTCACAATACTAAATTTATCCCTTTCCTCCAATTTATTTTTCTCTTTCTTTGACCATTTCTGTCTCTAATAATAATTTCCTAATTTTTTTTTATTTTTCATCCATACTGTTTCATTGGCATATATAAAGGCTTTACATACATACAATAACACCTCATTTGACTTTCACATAAGTGCCATACTTCTTTACTCTGGCTGAATCTGGGTTTTCCAG